GTGTGTGTGTGTGTGTCTGTATGTGTGCCTGTCTGTTTGGATGTATGTGTCTTGTGTGTGTGTCTGTATGTTTGCGTGTGTGTGTGTCTGTTTGTATGTGTGCCTGTCTGTTTGTACGTATGTGTCTTGTGTGTGTGTGTCTGTATGCGTGCCTGTCTTTGTGTCTGTATGTATGTGTCTTGTGTGTCTGTATGTGTCTTGTGTGTGTGTCTGTATGTGTGTGTCTTGTTTGTGTGTCTGTATGTGTGCCTGTCTGTATGTATATGTGCCTGTCTGTTTGTATGTATGTGTCTTTGTATGTGTGTCGTGTGTGTGTGTATGTGTGTCTTGTGTGTGTGTCTGTATGTATGTATGTGTGCCTGTCTGTTATAGTGGGCTATAGTAGGTGGGCTACCTAGCTCAGCCTTCCAACTGGGCATTGCTATAAGGAAGGTTAAAAAATAGAAAAAAGGGCGAAAAAAGGTGGGGAGGGAAATTGAGGAGGGAGAGAAGATGAGCTGACGCACAGATTAGAAATCATATTATGCGCAAACAGAGAAGTCGTCTGAATATCCCCGAAAGAGGAGACCTTCGTTTGTTCCTTACGAAAATCGAACCAGATATAAAATATTTAGTCTCGCAGCATCAACCTCAAGGATCTCATTAATTACTAGTAAAGGTAATTTCAATTAACTTTATTGTTTTCTCATTAAACTTTATAAAGTTAAAAACATTATAAACATGCATTAAGTAGAAATAAAAACATAAATGTACGTACATTTATTTATTTTTAAAACACCCTCCTTTCTAAAAAAACATCCTGCACTTGCGCGAAAACTGGTGGGCGGTAAGGAAATTTTTCCATCAAGAAAAATGCATTATTGGGCGGTAGGTTGAAAAAGGTTGACTACCACTGGTTTAAGGCATTGTATGTGGATCTTCTTCTTACTGTATGACAAAAGACTGTAATGGCAACATGTTCTGGGTATATCATTAAAGCAAATACATATTAGCACATCACTTTAATTTGCTATGGGCTAAAAATGTTGAATTCAAACTGGGGACTTTTAAATTGAGGACATCAAGTAATACTTGTACCACTGTGAACCAAGCTCACAGCCATTATGGCCCCATTTAAAATGATGAGCAATGTTATTGTCATAGGCGTGCGCAGCCTATTGCATTAGGGTGTGCACCCTAAAGCACAAACACACGTCGCATGTATATGTATGTATATATTTATATATATATATATATATATATATATATATACATATATATATATATATATATATATATACACACACACATACAAACACTGGTGTTTGTGTGTGCTGTTAGGGTGCTGTGTGTGTGAGGGTGCTGTTAGTGTGATGTGTGTGTGTGTGAGGGTGCTGGTAGTGTGCTATGTGGGTGAGGGTGTTTGTGTGTGTGTTTGTGAGGGTGCTGTTAGTGTGCTGTGTGTGAGGGTGCTGATAGTGTGCGGGTGTTTGTGTGTGTGTGTGTGTGTGTGTGTGTTTGTTAGGGTCATGTTAGTGTGTTGTGTGAGGGTGCTGTGTGTGTGAGGGTGCTGTTTGTGTGATGCGTGTGTGAGGGTGCTGTGTGTGTGTGAGGGTGCTGTTTGTGTGCTGTGTGTGTGTGTGTGTGTTTGTGAGGGTGCTGTTTGTGTGCTGTGTGTGTGTGTGTGTTTGTGAGGGTGCAGTTAGTGTACAGTGTGTGTGAGGGTGCTGTGTGTGTGTGAGGGTGCTGTGTGTGTGGGTGCTGCTTGTGTGCTGTGTGTGTGTGGGTGCTGCTTGTGTGCTGTGTGTGTGAGGGTGCTGTTTATGTGAGGGTGCTGTTTGTGTGAGGGTGCTGTTTGTGTGTGTGTATGTGTGTGGGTGCTGTTTGTGTGCTGTGTGTGTGAGGGTGCTGTATGTGTGCTGTGTGTCTGAGGGTGCTGTTTGTGTGCTGTGTGTGTGAGGGTGCTGTATGTGTGAGGGTGCTGTATGTGTGTGTGTGCTGTGTGTGTGAGGGTGCTGTGTGTGTGTGTGCTGTATGTGTGTGTATGCTGTATGTTTGGAGGTATTGTGGGGGTGGAGGTGGAGGTGGGGGCAGATTAGTAAATACATAAGGTAAGAACGGAGGGGGGAATCTTGCTGCCCTGTGCCCAGTGGAGAGTGAACTCTCGCTAGAGGAAGAGGAATCCAGCGGAGCTGCTGGCCTCTCCTGCCTCCCTCCATGCTGCTGTGGGCCGCTGAGGGAGATCTTTGATCTGCCCACCGGCGCATGGAGGCTTAGAGCAGAGCCGCCGCTCGGATAGCGCCGGCTCTGCACGAGCTGACACGGGAGATCCTGAGATCTCCCCTGCCGGTCTCAACCCATAGGCTTGCCGCGACACACCCCGTGCGCACTCCTATGTTTATTGTGGGGTTTACCACTGTACCCCACACTGCAATGATGTGAGGTGCACACAGTGTGTGCTCCCATGCAGTAGTCATGTGTTCTTGCAGTGGAGTTACTAAGTGTGTTTTTGGGTACTTAGGGTAAAGGGTTAATTACATTCACGATGCTGTAAATTTTATTTATTTCACTCTCAGAGAAGCTTCCTTTAAAATCAATTTGGACATCCGTGATTTAAATATTTTTGGGGCATGGAAGTGATGGAAAGATAAATACAGGTCTTTTATGGGTCATACAGTAAGCAGAATACTGCTGATTTATTTACTGGTAAAATTATGTATGTTAACAAGACATTCTACTCTGAAACCATGAAGTACAATGTACATAGTTACATAGACTGAAAAGAGACATGCGTTAATCAAGTTCAGAAATTTTCACATCTCTTTTTGCTGTTCCAAAAGAAAGCAAAAACCCAGTTTGAAGCGCTTTCCAATTTTTCAATAAACTAGGGGGAAAAATCCTTCTCGACCCCTGAATAGCAGTCAAATATCTCCTTGAAAGAAGAAGTTATTACACCACAAACTAAAAATGTTATCCCTGTATATTATGTTTTTGCATGTATTCATCCAGTTGCTGTTTAAACATGCACAGATCTAATAAAACCACCTCTTCAAGCAGAGAATTCCACATCCTTATTGTTCTAAATATAAAAATCTCTTTCTTTTGCCTTAGACTAAATCTCCTTTCCTCCAGTCTAAATGCGTGATCTTGTGTCCTATGTATAGCCTTGTTTATGAATAGATTTCCAGACAATGGTTTGTATTGGCGCTAAATATATTTGTATAATGCTTTCATGTACCCTGTGAGGCGCCTTTTTTCTAAACTAAAGAGATTTACATTTGTTAACCTTTCTTCATAACTGAAATATTCCATTACTTTTATTAATTTTGTAGCCCGTCTCTGCATTTTTTTTAGTGCCATGATATCCTTCTTTAAAAATTACACTGCAAATTTTATTTCATTGTGTGAATTAATGTCCCTATTTATACACAAGAATACCTTACTGGTCTTGGCAACTGCTGATGAACTTTGCACACTGTGACCTAGTTTACTGTCTATAACAATTCCCAAAAGCTCCTTGTGTGATAGTAACCCTAATTCACTACCGTTTATGTTGTAAGTTGCTTGTGCATTCTTTACCCCAAAGTGCATTACTTTGCATTTATCTAAATTAAATTTTTATTTGCCATGTGAGTGCCCCATCCTAGGGGCTGTCTATCTAAATTCGTCTGCAGCAAAGTAATATCCTGCTCAGTGGTGGATGCAGGGGGGGGGGGGCAACGGGGCAATTTCCCCCCCCCCCCCCGACCCCCCGAGGCTCTCCCCTGCCGGCAACGCTCCAAATCTCACAAGAGTGAACTCTAGCCCTGAAACGCGGGCTAGAGTTCACCTCACCACCACTGGGACCACCAATTAATCCCCACCAGACCACCAGGGATCCAGAAATGCCCCCCTTCCTCCTTCCAGTAAAGGTAAGAAGGGAGGGGGGACATCAATATATTTATTTTAACTAAATTAAAACAAAAAGCCTCCCTACCCTCCTTCCCCCCCATACACACTGCACACCCATACACACACACTGCCCCCAAACACACTGCACACCCATACACACACACTGCCCCACAAACACTGCTCCCCATACACACACTGCCCCCATACACACTGCACACCCATACACACACACTGCCCCCCATACACACACACTGCCCCCATACACACTGCACATCCATACACACACACTGCCCCCCCATACACACACTGCCCCATACACACTGCACACCCATACACACACTGCCCACAAACACTGCCCCCATACACACACTGCCCCCATACACACATACACACACTGCCCCACAAACACTGCCCCCATACACACACTGCCCCACAAACACTGCCCCCATACACACACACACTGCCCCACAAACACTGCCCCATACACATACACACACTGCCCCACAAACACTTCCCCCATACACACACTTCCCCACAAACACTGCCCCCATACACACACTGCCCACCCATACACACACACTGCCCCACAAACACTGCCCCCCATACACACACTGCCCCAAACACACACACATCAACTCTCATACACACTGCCACCCTCACATACACACACACTGCAGCTCTCTCACACACACACTGCAGCTCTCTCACACACACACACTGCCCCACACATACACTGCAACCCTGACCTACACTGCCGCCCTCACGCACTCGCACACATACTTCACTGCTCACACACACACACTGCACCTTTCACACACACACCTCACCCCTAACACTGCTCCTATTCCCTATATCCCAGCAGACCCCAGGTAAGTTGTCAAACTGTTCTTAAACTGTTTGACTACTTACTCTGGGATGGGATCCTGGCACTACTGGCACCATAACTACTACACTGAGCTGTAGTGGTTATTGTGCCTGGATTATTTATTTAAATAATCTTCAAGTGCCCCTCCCGAGATCAGGCTCTGGATCCGCCACTGATCCTGCTCTCATTGTATTAATTTAAAGAGTTTTGTGCCATCTGGAAACATTGAAACATGACTTGTAATGCCTTTTTCAAGATCATTTACAAATAGGTTAAATAGACGCACTGAGGGACACCACTTGTTACTTTTGTCCAGCTTGAAAATATACTCTGTCTTTAAGCTAATGCTCTAGCCATCAACAAGAATTTCCATCTAGACCAATTTCTTTTAGTTTGAACATTAACCTATTGTGTGGAACCATATTGAATGCCTTGGCAAAATCCAAGTAGAGCACATCCACTTCTTCGTAGAATGCAATTAAGTTAGTTTTGCATGAACTGTTTCATAAAACCATGTTGATTTTTGCTAATGACATTGTTCTTCTCAATATTTCCTGAATATTATGTTAATAACCTTAATAACCCTTCAAATACTTTCCCAGCCACATAAGTCAAGCTCATACGTCTATAATTTCCAGACAAAGATTTTGAACCTTTTTTGAATATAGGAACCACATCTGCCTTCCTCCAATCCTTTAGTACAATTCTTGAAAGAAAAGAATCCTGAAAGATTAAAATCAGAGGTTCATTTATTTCCACACTTAGCTCCTGAGCCCTGGAACTTTGTTTACATGAACTTTCTTTCGTTGCTGCAGCACGTTATCTTGAGTCATCCAGTCACAATTGTCCTGCTGCAATTATTTGCAAATCTCTTGCCATAGGTTGTTCCTTAATATATACTAAGGGACAATAGTTGTTTAAAATGTCTGCATTTTCCTGGTCTTTATTAACTAACACACCTATCTCTGTTTTCAGAGTACCTACACTTTCTTTTCTTTTTCTTTTTTTTAAAGAATGTATGCACTGAAAAAAATTGGGTGGGTTGTTTTGCTCTCTTTGGCTATGACTTTCTCATTTTCTAGTTTAGCCCATCTAATCGCATTTTTGCACGCATTATTGGCTTCTTATCTTTTATAGGATGTCTCTAATTTGTGTGATTTAAATGCTTTAAATGCCCTTTTCCTATTATTCATTTCTTTATTTACCTTCCCATTAAGCCACTCTGGTTTCAATGTGTTTTTTTTACACATATTTCTAATATTTGTTTGAATATATTCCATTTATCTCCAATGATTTTTTTTTTTCACTAAAGAGTTTATATCCCAGTCAGTATGTTGTAAAGCTGCCTTAACCTTATTGAATTTGGCCCTTTTAAAATGATATATTTCAGTATTCCGCATGTACATTTGCTTTTTTGAGTTTCTTTCAAATGACATCATGTTTGATCACTAGTTCCCAAGTGCTTGTTTGTTATAACCAGATCCAGACAAGCGTCCTTTCTAGTTGGTTCTTATACCGTTTGTGACAGGAAGGTGTCATTTAACAGATTTAATAACCTAATTCCATTTGCTGAACTACAAGTCCCTCTGTCCCAATTTATGTCCGGATAATTAAAATCTCCAATAATTAACGTGTTACCCAGATTTGCAGCTTTTTCAATTTGCTTAAACAGCTGTTGTCTCTTATCAATATCAACATGAGGTGGTTTATAACATATCCCAACCAATAACTGATTTAAATTCTTTGCCCCAAGCAGATATCTACCCATAAAGTTTCCACATTTTTAGCTTAATATTTGACTTTAACTCCTGGTTGACATACAAACATACATATATTTCAGGGAGACATTCTTTGATGTAAGGAATAGCTGACATTTAATTAAAGTAATTTATTTCACAGATGAATCATATCCTTTATTCCAGCTGTTAGAAAATGGGAATTCTGGCAACGCTGCCATTGAATTGTTTATTGAGCATATAGTACCTTCTAGTGGACGGCTGTAGGTACTGCAATCTTGTACTAATTTTTTTAAGCAATATAACCTACTGCACACCACAATATACAAAATAATCCTCAATTCTATTCAGACAATAAAATAAAGAAGTCAAAGAAATCTCTTACATAAGCTTCGATTACTTATCAACCGATCACGTATTTGCTGTTTATCGGCTTCCAATAAGCCTTTTATCGGTTCAAATTGATTTAATCATCGTCATAAAAAGCTAACTGGAGCAGATAAATATCGGATCTAATATTAATGATTTTTTAAACAAAAATCAAAAATCAATCATGTACCATTTCCATTGCAATTATCAGGCTTTCTGACTCAATACCATTTATTGAGACATGATAGTTTCATTGCCATTTAAAGAGGAACAAAAGCCAAAAGTTGTCACAAATGCATTAGCAACCAGTGGAAAATTAGTTTTAAAAATCCTATGGTCCCTTGCCCCGGGGGGCCCTTTGGGTCATGTACCCCGAGGCCACCAGGGGCTATGGCAGGCCACCAGGTAATTGGCTGAGACTGCTGCCGAACCAAACAAACCTTGATTCTGGGTGGTTCTTGTTCCTGTGGCGGGTCCTTGTTCCAGTATCCTTGTGCCAGTAGCTCACCATGGGGAGGACATGGGGAACCTGGGAGGTGTGAGCAGGTACACCCATGGGAGCGGGAGCAGGGTGGTAGCACCAGCTGGGTGGGGGGCAGGGTGCATGACATGACATGACATGACCCACTCCGGACTAGCCCATAGCCCCCAGAGTGACCGAACGGTGTAGGCCCGGATGGATGGGGAGTGGCACACGGGGAGGGTAGACAGCACATTAGACAGAGGATAGGAAGGGAAGGGACCCACCCAACATTGAGCGGGCTGGATCAGTTCTTATCACGCAACTAGGCATTTTACTAAACACGGACTTGAAGCACATGAGGACATCGACCAATCCGCACTATACGTTCCTTGTCACTCATTTGTACAAAATTAAATTTTCCCTATATCTGGGCTAACCCAGCTGGGAGTTGTTACCCTGTTAAACGATCTAGGGGGTTGCGGAGCCTGGTACGGCTTGTTTGTGTACAATATATTCTAAGACTTCCTAGTTCCCCCAGCAACGAACTCATTGTAAAATTAAGATCTCGAATTCAGAGGTGGCATTGGTCTCCTAAAGGCCCACATACCCCAGTACATCACTGAGAGATCCAGGGTCAGAGTTGCCCATTTTTGAGTGGTGCACTCAACACCTTCCCCACCCTTAAAGCCTCATTCCCTTCACCCCATACCCCTCTCCCACCCCTCCCCTTTTTTTCTTCTCTTCCTCTGATCTCAACTCCTGCCAACACCCCCTGAACCCCCAGCACTCTGCCCGCCATGTCTGCACCCTTCTTCCCTGTATCCCTGAAGTTCTGATCCAACAATGTCAGAAGCCTTAATATCCCACAAAAACGCGCACAAACACTCCGAACACTCTGGTCCCATAGAGTTTCTATCGCATTATTGCAAGAAACGCATTTCCAGGAGACTGGTGCCCCAACACTAGGGGACAGGAAATACCCTTTGGTATACTTTGCCACTATCCCACGGCAAAACGAGCAGGAGTAGCCATACTATTTGCACACACAATCCCATTTCAGTGCAAAGCGGTAAAGAGGAACCCCATGGGTAGGTACCTCTTGTTAAAGGAACTACAGCGGAACACACCTACACCCTCGCATCCATATACTTCCCCAATCGGGAACAACATCTTTTCCTACACAAAACATTGACTACCTCTTCATGGCGCATGAATATCTTGCGCTACTGATCTCCTCTGAGATCGGATCTATTGGTGTATCAGACCCTGCCCCGGTCACGACACCAGTTAAATTGCCTCTGTTTAAACCTCGCAAACTCCAATGGAAACTGAACCAAAATATTCTGATCAATCTGGAAGGCATAAACAAAAATGACACAAATGCTTACGCAATACTTCGACATAAATGAAACACTGGAGATGACTGCACTGACAATATGGGAAGCACACAAATGTGTGATCCGAGGCCATTACATAGCAATTGGTACCTGGCGCAAAAAGGAAAGGATTGAGTGTACAGCAGCGCTGATACGAAAAAATAAAGAACTAGAGTCCACCAAAAAATGCACTCTGACGGAAGACACCTACTGTGGCGGAACCCGCCTCACCACTGGACATTGGAGAGGCCTGGCTGCCGCCTCCTACCTGCTGACTATGGCCCCTGGTAAATTTTAATGCAATATTTGGGCATGTGATATTTTATATTGCTGCTACTGGCCCTTTAAGAGCCATCCGGGGACATATTATGACTTTTAGGAACAATACCCCTTTAAGACTTGGTAGCAGATTACAGTAAGGATGTCTTTTATATTATGTATGTTTCTGTGTGTTCGGCTAAATTGTATATGGGTATGCAGCATTCCCCTGATTGTTCGGTAGAATCACTCCATTCATTATACTGAGTGAAACTACCGAACAACCAGACCACCCAGGAAGAAGTGTGCCTCCAATTACCGTTTGCAACAATGTTGCAAACGGGTAATTGGCAATCGAAGTAATGTGTGGTTTTGTCCTCTGGGTGGCCGCCATTCGGAAAACAAACACGTGGTGGCGGCCATCCTAAACTCCCGAACAGCGGTGTTTTGCCGTCGAGTGTCTGAAACTAAAATCGGACACTCAACTAGGCAAACACCGCTGAGACCTCCAGACTTCCATGAATTCGTGTGGAAACTACCGAATGACCCGCCGTTCGGTAGAAAGAACCCCACGAACAAGGGAATTCGTTTAAACCCTCCCCAGGCTCTATAACCCAGGCAATTTGTGTGTTTTCATTCCCTTTTCTGTGACCGACTGCAGGGCCAAAGTACATGGAACTATTTTCGGATACTTTTGCCATGCAGTCGGTCAAAACTTTAACCCTCCATAATTCCCGAACCCCTGGTCCGATCTGGGTGATTTTTGGATATGTGTCTCACCCAGATCAGGGCTACCAGGGGATGTAACATTTAAAGGGGTAACCCTATGTTTAGGGGTACATCCAGTAACCCAGGGAATTTGTGTCTGTACTAATGGGATTATGTGTCACACTAAGGGGAGGAGATGTGTGGGAGGTAACTGGTACATTATTGGCTGGGGTACTAATTGTTGTGGATCCCTCCCTTACATGGGAGAATGTCTTAAAAGGAGGTTGTGTGAATAAATCTGGAGTTCCTGCTTAACCCTCAAAGTGAAGTGTCGTCTCATTATTGGGGAAGGATTTATTGTATGCTGTTCCAGTTTGACTGCTAGGAGTCTAAACCCATCCGCATGGGTTTTTGCCTATTCAGCTGTTTATAGCATTCATATGCTTGAGAGAAGGTATGTGCTTTTCCGGTTCGGTTCGGTGATTGTGGTGTCTGCTTGGAGTCCTCAGGAAATGCTAGGAGTATCCTTTAACGGAGGTACCCAGTCGGGGTGCCAGGTGATCCGTTACACCTACTTACGATTTACCAAAGCTCGTTGAGGGCTCAGGGACCTACTCTCCCAAAATCTCCTGCACACACCCTGCAAATGGAAGAGATTTTTCTTCGAATACTCGAACAAATGCGGGAGACTCTTAGCCGGACACCTACAGAGACAATGAAAACTACACCACATACACAAGATAAATAAAATACAGGGACCAGCCAACATCCTACAGGCCTTCCACACCTATCACACGGAACTATAAAACATCACCAATGCAGAACAGGGCTCTAGCCCGCAGTGACACCGGCGTGGAGTCGAAGAGTTCCTCTCCCCGAATGTGGCGCGACAACTGACACTAGAAATGAGCGAGGAGCTGGAACAGCCGCTTACAATAGAGGATTTAAACAGCAGCTCTGAATCTCTCTAAAGCCAACAAGGCACCAGGCCCGGATGGACGTACGGCCAACTACTATCACAAATTCACATCCTTCTACCTAAACCTAAACTACCGACGCCCTGAACACCATCCTCCATGGGGGTGAATTCCCCAATGACTCCCTGACAGCAATGCGAGCATGGGTGTCATTACTCTACACGACCCCATCATTCGGATCAACGGGGCCCTATCCCCCCACTCCCCATCAGAAATGGCACCCTTACCTCTGTCTCCCCTCCTGTTTGCCCTCTCTCTGGAACCACTTTTGCAGGTGGTCAGACAGGATAGGGGTCTAAGTGGGCTGCACCTCAGCTACCGTGGGCACCGCCTTGTGGCATACGCTGATGACATGCTTTTCTTCATTGAAAGACCAACTGTGTCCCTCCCTAACCTTCTACGCATCTTCCATTCATACGGGGCAATCTCCAACCTCAAGCTGAACATGGACAAATCAGAAGCGTTAAATATCACACTAACCCGAGACCTGGAAGCCCACCTACAAGCAAAGTTTCACTTCGCATGGCGAGACACGGAACTCAAGTACCTAGGCCTCTACTTACCTACAAACCTCACACAGCTCTACCGACTAAACTTCCTCCCAATCCTCGCCTCACTACAAACCGACATGAAAAAGTGGACCAACCTGTACATCACTTGGTTCGGCCGCATCAATGCAATAAAAATGAACATCCTTCCACGTCTCCTACATCTGTTCCAGACTGTCCCCACAAACATCCCGAGAGCATTCTTCCAATCTATTGCTTTGGCCACACGATAGCTCGTATGTAAGAAGAATACGGTCCGCATACGGAGGACACTACTTGAACTCCCCAAAACACAAGGATGTACTGGTCTTCCTTCTGTAATTAATTACTATAGAGCTACACACCTGCAACAGCTCGGCATGCACAACCAATTACAAAACATTGGGTACACATGGAAAAGGTACAGTCCGCAGGGAAAATCCCCACCATATTGTGGCACAGAGATCCACATACAGTGCACTGCGCACAGGGAATCCACTGATAGACGCCACTCACCAGGTCTGATGCTCCATCCGCTTCTCACAATGTTTGACCACCTCCCCATCCCCGTTGACTCCCCTCACCCACAATCCGAACCTAGCAGGAGGTTTGAAACACCCACACCTCCACATGTTTTAACAATTAGACTGGGTCTAGATGAAGCAGTGGTGTACTACCGCACTACTTAAAACCTCTGGTCGACCTACTACCTGAGAAAACACCCTCGGGACTTGAGCACTTCCGTTACACGAGACACAAGGGCAAAACCCAACTTCACAGGGATCTCACACAATTTGAAATGCCCTGCATCTCTTGGACACACATCCCCAGAGGACTCTCCCTGCTTTACAAAATGCTGCTAATGGGAGAGGACAGACTTCCGCCTACATTCATCACATACTGGAAAAGGGAAGTGGGTGAGAAGCTCACAACTAAGGAATGGGATAAATGCTCCATAAGATCTAGATACCAGGAATTGAGTTACAAGCTACAATCTTGCTGATACAGGACTCCTGAAGTCTAACACTGTATGAAACCCGAAATACCTGATGTTTGCTGGCGATGTGATTTGGAGTGGGCACAACCCTCCACATTTGGTGGACATGCACCGAAATTGCCCCTTGCAAGAAAATGGTCCATGGAAAAATCAATGACATAGCATTAACCTTCCCCTACAACCACTCCCTATGCTTCTGCACCACCCAACTAGGCCCTTGAAATCCTACACATAATCCCTTACCATACAGCTGCTGACAGCAGCAAAGACCCTCATTCCAATACTCTGGGAACAGAGGGGTGCACCAACCTTCAGACAATGGGTGACTAGAGTGGAGGAAATTTATAAAATGGAATTGATGGCAACAGACCTTAGTGGAAGCTCGGCCAAATGTGCCCTGACATGGTTACCCTGGAGTGACTTCACCTCCAGGAGGAACCACAGCGGGTGACATGCATGACAATCAGACAAAGGATTCACCCACTGCTACCGGGGCTGCAACGGGGTGGAAGGTGGCAGGATCCTGAGCGTGCGGAGTGTGGATTTCCCTACCCCCTACCTTTCCCTTCCACCAGCATGGCCATCTACCCCCAACTTTTCAACCCTCTCTCCTTCCCAAAAATACAAGGCAACCAAGCAGAGTTAAACACGAGCTCTGAGGCACGGTCCCCAACACAGGGTAAACTTAGACAAGGAAATCACACTTAGTCCCATTCCTCTCCACCCCCACATGCCAAGTGTCCTGTGAGACACCCAGATGACAAACCTTACTACCTTCAGACACACACGACACACAGCCAGTATTGAATACCACAATTCACAGCCGATAACATAGAAAATACAACCCAGAGCACCTAAAAGGGTATGACACCTACCAATGCATATATAAGAAAGTTCTCTATCACTAATTATACATAAGTGAAGAAATGCCCATGGCTACATAACACTGGCCATGGTAAACACGGTGAGCTGTTCACTTCAATACAGCCAAAATAATTTGTACTCATGCAAACGTATGTCTAATGCCTGCTTATTGTGCAACCTTGTCTTACCTCTTTACCCATAATCATAAGATATACCACCTGCGAGTGGCAAAATACCAACAATTAACAATATAATGTAACAATTATAAAAATGCAAAATAAAGATTTTCAAAACAAATTAAAAATCCTATGGTGTTAATTTGACTGAAACATTAGTACAAGGTAGGTTATACACCCGCCTCATGTCCTCACTCTTCATGCTTTGAGGGGAGTCATATTTGCTAAAGAGTAAACTGTAATAAAAGAGTAGTATCTCATGCAGCTAATGCTGCCCACTCGCTAGTAATGGACAGGGGGGGGAGGCATTGTACAGGATCATTGTCCACTCCCTGTGCCCCTCACGTTGGATCTACAAACTGATTATTTAATTTAATTATAGTGGGGGAATATAGTATGCCCCCAATGCCCCCACCAATTGCTGATTTTGTTTAGCAGATGGGCCCCAACTCACAGCATGGTGGATGGGGGTAAGGTGGAGGTGAATAACCTCCCTTATACTACTGTGGGGTCCATATTGACAACCGCTGGATTTTATTTTATTTTTTATTACTAACAGGGTTAGTCATTACAAAAGTCTGATTTTTATCGAGAAGACCTGTTTATTGTGGCTGGCATTAAATTCAGTTGAAATTGAATAAGAATATTGGCCGAATCCAGTCAATAATTTTCTACTGGGATTGGCTAATTATATAGAATCGAAACCATAGTGAGACAAGGTGTTGGTAATATACACACACATATATATACAAATACACAGAGGAGGAGGATTGAAACATTGAGCTGTCAACAACTTTTTTAAGCATTTTGCATTAAACTTTTGATGTTTTAATTTCCTAATGAACCCATGAGTGCTGGTCATTGGTGGTATATGGACACACACACATATATATATATATGTGTATATACATATACACATATACAGTTGTAATCAAAATTATTTAACTCCCATTGAAAATCAGGTTTATTGTCAAAATGTACAGACTTTCAGCTGTTTGCATTGAACAAATCAAACAAAAGCAATTGAAGTAGCTCAACACAACAAATGCTTTAAGTGGTTTCCCCAATTTCAACTGAAAATCAATTTATAATGACTTCTCCAGTCTCAAAATTATTCAACCCATTCATGGCAAGTGTCTTTAGTTCATGGTAGAGCATCATTTTGCTTTTGCAATTGAGATGCATAACCCTACACCAGCTCCTGGCAGGGTGCCTAAGAAATCTTAACCCATTGCTCATTAGCAATGACCTCCAGTTCAGTAATATTCTTGGGTTTGCGTGCCACTACCTTCTTCAAATCTCACCAGAGATTTTCTATGGAGTTCAGTATTTTATATTGCAGCACATGCTGAATTGTGGCACCTGTCACTGCTTCTTAGTACCCATATGGAATGATTACCAGAGTTATTCACTATAGTGAGAATTCAATGTGAATTTCACACTTACATGGGTATTCACTAAAGTCAAAATTTCTCGGTACCAAATGGGGCAAAACCATTTGCTTCTGTACAGTGGGCATTCAGACTGCACAACCTGGACATTGTTGATGGAATTCAACAATGTTTGGATTTTGTAAATCAGACACCAAACTAGCCTGAATTTGTTCTAGATTCTAACCATACCGAACACCGCCAGACTGCTGGAATCCAGTCCAAATTAATTATATTGAGGTCCAGAGGATGCAAATCCTGGCTCTGATTTAAAAAAAAAAGAATCAAAACTAATGTGAACAAATACATAAAAATGAAAAAGAATCGTAGGACAAGAATACAATCCCGGAGTCCGGATAAATATCAGGGACTGAAGGATTGTCTCTAATAAAACACCTAGGGTCAAACTCCTAGAGGAAGGGTATAACCCTCAGACTAGCACAAATATACGAAGAAAGGAATCCTCAGTAATGGGGGGCCTATATAGGAGGACAACCAAAACTCAGAAGAAAGGGAGCCCTACCTAAAACACTCTCCCTAACTTAGTAAAAATGAGACAGAGTAAAACTACCAAAAAATCATAGTGAGCATTGAGCTATCTATCCTTATAATCACCACACTTTTATTTTTGCACTATGATTTTTACTAAGTTAGGGAGAGTGGTTTAGGTAAGTACTAGTTGCTTGTCCACAGTGCTGAGGTATTCTTAGGGAGAGGTTCATTGAGGTCTCTACAGGCATGGTTTTTCATATATAGGACCCCCTATCCTCATCTCTTCCCTTACCTCTATTTTTTTTATCTACCTATACCTCTCATTTGTTCATTACTCTTGGGTGCATATGACATTGGTATTATTTCTAGAGGCTCCTGCATCCTCTTAGTCCCCTGACATCAAGTACCTTTTTGTGTGGAGAGAGGCTGTTCTTCTATAACCCTTGAGCATTGTTTAGACAATTTTCCACATTTTCTTAGTTTCTTATTTCTTTGGTTTTTGTTATTCCCTAGAATTATTAAAGATAGGGCTCCCTTCCCTCTGAGTTTTGGTCATCTTCCTTTCTAGGCCCCTCATTACTGAGGGCTCCTTTCTTCGTATAATGTGAACAAATGTCTCTTGGTGCTAGGTCAGCGTCCCACCTCCTCCAACGTAATCAGACAGGTAACCTAATGCCCATACGCCGCAAGTGCATTAGGCCCTCCCTATAGGTAAGCATTGAAGCATTGCCTGCTTTGAGGATTTAACTGACACTGGGTGACTCCATGCAGAGCGTAAGGGTATCCAGCATCAGTTAGGCAACCTAAAGACCGGTAAAATCCCGGAAGCGCCTCTGGTGTCTATCTGGTAGATAGCCACTACGTTGCAGTTTATCTAAAACTTTTGCTCATTGAAGTGCACCCACACCACTTCAATTTGCTGAGTTGGTCTGGTTCTTTTTCAAGTTAGTCAATAATGTCTTGTCTTGAATTTACTTATGTGAGCTACAGAATGTGTTGGTGCTTTATAATTCATGATAATAATATCTAGAGGTCATTCCCTGGAAGTCTACTTACCAAGTGTGTCTAGTTTTGCCTCCACTATCATAAAATCTATTTTTAAAATATAGCTGCAAGTATTAAAGGAGGATGAATCATAGTAAATTCTAAAATGTATTTCAATTACCTTAAAACTAGATTTGTTTAAAAGGCAAGCCAAATTTACACCAGGTATTTTTTTTAGGCTAATGTATAAACTGTAAAACCTAAAAATGTCAACCATACAGATAATTTACTTGGAGAGTTTATCCTTGTGCGTATGACCCAATTCTGCCCAGAGATGAGATGGTGAAATAAGTATGCATTTTTTTTTTTTTTAAATCTACTACCTACACATAACCCTGCCAGTAATTTTGAAAACAAATATTTCCACTTCTATCATTGTTTATAACATTGTTTGTACTAATTTGTGTTAACTTGATTTATTTGCATCAACTGTTACAGTTAAAGGGATTCTATACTGCCAGGAAAACAAACCCATTTTCCTGGCACTGTAGAATCCAACAGTGACCCCCTCCCTCGCGCCCCGCCTCCCGTGCGGCTGAAGAGGTTAAAACCCCTTCAGTCACTCACCTGAATCCAGCGTCGAGGGACATTGGCGCTGGGTTAGGTTCCACCCATGCTCCTCCCCCGCTGACGTTAGCTGGCGGGGGAAACCTAATGTGCATGTGCAGCAATAGCCACGCTTGTATTAGGATTTCCCCATGGGAAAGCATTACTCAATGCTGTCCTAGGGGGAACATCTGACGCTGAAGGTCTTCAGAGTGTGAGGACGTCCAGCATCAGATAACCAACCAAAGGTCCGTTTGGATTCCAGAAGTCCCTCTAGTGGCTGCCTGGTAGACAGCCACTGGAGGAGTTAAGCCTGCAAGGTAATTATTCCAGTTTCTCAGAAAATTCTGCAATAATTACCAATGTAGGGTTAAGGGACATGGGACATTGCACCCAGACCACTTCAATGAGCTGAAGTGGTCTGTGTGCCTACAGTGTCCCTTTAAAAGAATTGTGTGCCTCTATAGCCAACTCATGCACTCTTGACAATATGTCACCCATCACCTTATCAGAGGTTAGGGTTCTACCAAGAGGAGGCTCTCCACAGAGGCAGGTGGAGTGCTGCAATGTGCATTAGAAAGATGCGTGTAGTTCTTAAACAAATATCCATCTTAAGAATTTGGGGCACTTTTGAAAAAGAATGCCCCATATTCTGGACACATCAGAATTGTTAAAGCTGATCTAACATAATTTCTGATGACCGTCACTGACATTGCATTGTGTTGTCTGCTGCTGTATGCCCTAAGAGACATGCTTGGATTGTCATTCTACGACTGTTACTTGGTGTAGTCTACTGCTCCATTGAAGTTAAGATAAACTGCGTAGAGGCGAAGGACCAGGATAACAGGTCTTGCCACAGTAACATACATATTTGTAGAATTCCTAAGTGTTCTCCAAAGCCTATTCTCTACTCAGAAAATGCATCAATGAGATGGATTCTAGCAAACCACAGGTGCATGGATATATTTCCTCTTTTACTCTAGTTGTGAGATGTAACATGAAGCCTATTACAGATATCTATATGTTCTGCAAGACATGAGGCTACTTAAGCCTTAATCTAACACAAACCAGTTTTATACCACCACTCCACCACCTGTGCTTACACCGCTCCCATAGTGAACCATAGGATTGAAAATGCGGACACCTCCAAAGCTTCACATTCACCACCTAAATAATGGTAACCACCTTGTAATAATTCATGCTCAAAACCAATGGTCTGCTTAACATTTCTCCTTTTTAAACCACCTTGTAATAATTCATGCTCAAAACCAATGGTCTGCTTAACATTTCTCCTTTTTTGCAATGGAAGATGAGCCAATTAATGTTTATACACATTACTAATTATGAAACAATATACTTACAGTTCCTTATATATTCTTCTGGATATTTGTACAGTTTGAGCCTTAACTACACCCACTGGAAGGATGTTTGAGAGATATTCTTTATTTTCTCAAATCATCACGCCACAAATGACTTCTGTGAACAAAGTTCACTGAAACTTTTAGGAGTGCAAATAGTCTCCATGCATAATTGGGAGTCTATTTTACACTCTGTTCATACGATTAACTGCATCTACTCATAAATAAGTGAACCGAGTCTTGAATGAGCACAAACAAAACAATATATATTCTCAGACATTTTGAATAAATATTTCCTTAAATGCATACACATAAAAAAAAATCTCCAAGATAACAACATTGTCATACACTTCATACATAACTATGCTTCATTCCACAAAGAAGACACCAGAAGCTGTAAGATACATTATAATCAGCGGCTTGTCAAGAGCAGAGGGGAATAACATACTGTCTACATGGGAAAAGCTTCAGGTAAAAATGTCAATAGTGGGATAGGGTGCAGAGACGGCATTCTAATTTATGGTCTAGGCTTGTTGTTGAAGAAAAGGATAGTTAACGTTTGTATAGAGCAGAAAAAGCCTGTATGTATACCTAGATTGTGTATAATTTATTGTGTGATTGTAATTTCATGTGTGAGGCAGGTACATCCTCTGTATAAGGATGAATAGGGTGTCATGTATCCTGCGTACACTATAAAGGATACTAAGGAATTGGCTGTATATAATATCTGCAGCGTGTAGTGTGTATTATGTGTGTAAAATGAAATAAATAAATAAATAAATAAATAAATAAAATACCCATTTTTAGGAAGATAAGGGACTATTAACATGTTAAAACACATATAATGTACAAAATGAAATTAATTTGGCTTACTAAGTAAATATATATTAAAGACTGAGTACTTGTACAGACATGTATTGGTCCAGCTGTAATACAGGCCATGTTGATGTGTGTGTCCTGCAGGTTATATGATGTTGATGAGCATAATAGAACCATGAATGTTACATTGTATTACATTGTTACATGATGAGACAGCATGCATCTGCACACCTAGTGTACTGACTGTATTGGTGCTTAACCTGCACTATGTAGATGCTGAGCTATGCATTAAACTGATCATTTTGGAGAAAAGTCAGCAGTGATCACAGAGGGTCAGAGATGGAAGACTTGTGGGAGGATTTTACAGCGTGCCCATCCCAGTAACCTCAGACGTCAGCCTAGAAGAAACAGGTGAGAAGAAAAATAGAGATTAAAGAAGGCAAGTGGAGATGGAGTGGATTAAAAAGTAAATGTGAATAAGATAACAGATTGAAAAATAGAATAACAAAGTGAGGGAATTGCATAGCGATTGTGGGAACAGTGGGAGAGAGAGAAAAAAAAGTGAGTACTTTAGGGGTGTGTATAATTCAATCTTAGAATCCAACCAATGTTTGGTTACTTTTCTTGCTTCTTTAGAATAATTATCACGTGTCTCCATGTTTTTTTAAAAAGAGAATGCTAAACTTAATTTCAATAATACATAGCGTGTTCCCTATAAGCACAACTGATCTGATTGAACTAATTTCCAACATGTAAAATCTTGATATTCGCTAATATAACCTTAACAAAAAATCAGGAACCAACGTCACACTGTGAAATGTATCACTACTACAATTTCCTTAAATTTGGGAAAGGGAAAGGAATGCTGAAGTAGACATTCTAAATATATTGAGAAGTTTACGACCCATAGGTTATAGCAGGATCTTCCTTAACTTCATTAGTGTAAATACTGAGAAACTGTAAATAATTTGGAACAGATTTCTCCGAAAACAAAATAGGTTCCTCCTTGCTGACAATTCCTATAGCACAACTCCTATGTGCTCTGCTCTGGTACATCCGCAGATTAAACATTGCAGAACTAAAGGGAATGCGTGTGGAGTACTACAACATGCATGTAACCGCGTAGACAAATATGCTGTTAAAATCCAATTTCAGTGTTGGAACGGCACTACACTATGATGTGTTTGGAATGTCATGCTTAAAGGAACACTATAATGTCAGTAATACATTACACGTGTTGGAAAAAATCATTAGGTCCCCGGCCCCCCACTCTGTTGTGATTAAAGGTGATTTTACTATCTTCTCCAATGCTCTGGTCTCGACATGCCAAGCCCGGAAATCCATGGCTGAGATCATTAATCTTGATGATCTCAATGCAACTATTTTCCATAGGAAAGCATTGAGAGGCTATTGCGCATGAGCAGCAAAACACTGTGCAGCACTAGACTAGAAAGCACCTATAGCGGCCATCTGAGTGACTGCCACTATAGGTGTTCTCTAAAAAGGCAGTGTTTGCAGTGCTAACCCTGCAGGGACATGATGTAGACACCAGAGCCACTACATTAAGCTGTAGTGGTTTTGGTGACTATAGTGTCCATTTAATGTTACCACTATCTAATAAATTCAGTGTCTCTAGTTACCTGGCGTTTATGAGGTACTGTGCAAGGCTGATGTTAGCTGGGCTCCCAGTGATGGTTATCTGCCGCTCTGCTGAACCCTCCATGGCACTGGCTATTTTGATTTGTGCTCCAGACATCTGTCGAATTTCATTGATTTTGGTTCCTTGGCGACCGATGATGCAGCCTATTAGCTGGAAAAGAAGAGAAGCTGAAACGTCTGTTTTGGATGAATGTTGCAAGTACAGACATTTAAGGTTCGACTTATAAAATGCGATATGTAAAGTCAGAGGAAACTGTACAGCTATTTCTTCCAATAAAATTACAAATACCACCTTTCCTGGGTTGGGAGGATGCCTGATCATATACGTTGATGGGTCTATGTTACTAAGTCTTGTATAAGATGACGTGTCATTATGCATTTTGACTGCTTGTAACTTGTTAACGCAATGTTGCTTCCACTTGAGTGATTTGATTTATTTTGTATGATACGATTTTCTTGATTGGCCTCAGGGCCTGTATGTCCAGAACAGGTTTACTCTCGTATTTACTTACTATTATATGTCTATTTCTTAATAAAAATGATATTTACAAAAAAAAAAAAATAAATAAATAAATACCACCTTCCTGCTACCTAAAAAAAATCTAGAATATTTCCTCTGTGTATATTTAGTTTAATATGCACACTGATTTTTGTTTTAACTTTATTAATACAGCAAGTTAGAAACTTTGAAATGATCCCTACATCAGTCCTATGGTTTATTTGATACTTATGTTCTAAATAGAATGTAAATTGAGGAGTTGATGTGAGTTTCCATTTGTCCGCATACAGAATAATGTATTATCATGCCGGGACTGAAATCTTAATACTCGATATGTCATATTTCCAACATTAAACTTTGACTCAGTTATTTAAATTATCTGGCCAGTGTAATAGTTTATCAATAAAAAGTCCAAATGTGGTTTATCATAATATCACTATGAATGATGAGCACACGGGGCGTTTAATTAATGAGTGCTTAAGACAGGGCATCTCAGCCAAGCCAAACTTGGCAGCACGTTAAAGGATGTTACATCCTAGACATTTCACAGTCATATCAAGTCATGTAAACACAAAGCCTTAGGCAATGTGGCTTGTGTCAACAGGGTATTCACTTATAACAATTCAAATTATAAATTCCCTGCATTGGTTATGAATGTGACATTGGGTACTGGTTGATGAACAATATCTGCAATGAAAATTGAATGCTAGTTGCTGTATGAATTCATTTTTGTTGATAAACGTTGGCCAAAAATGTGACTTTTTCAAGATGATAAATAAATTCAAGTAACATAGCACTTTACTAAAATACTTATTTCTACGGTAAGATTAATTAAAACTTCAACATCAGACATTACTCTAATAAAAATACAAATTGCTGCATTTTTAGAACCAGAAGCATTCATGTAAATGTCAATTGATACTATGTGAATACATTTAATAAAATTTTAATTTGCAATGACATAATGGGAAAATAACTAAAATATGTTGGGCAATGTATTTTTTTGCCTAGCATTGGTCTTGACGATTATTAAGCATGCAATCTCTTGATATTTATCAATAAAAGAATAGAGAATGTCACTGGGAGCAGTCTCTGATTTTCCAAAAGTTATTGGGGTATAAAATAAGGCAAAATTGAGATTAATTCTCCAAATGTTCTTATTTAAATACATTTTAACATTAGCTGATGGATTAACTACCTAAAACAAATGGAAGGTAATAAGATCCATTTAACAAATACATCTATTTTAACTGAATCTTGAACTGTATGAACCATATTGCTCTTAGGAGAGATTGTTGTTTATAATTGGATTATCCTTGTGGTAATGTGGAAAAATTTGTTTTTTGAATCAGTTATCCCTATAATCTACGTAATGGCAACTAATCCAAATTCCTTCAACCTTTCTTGATCAAAGATTATTTTCAAAGATGAATGCACAAGTGGAGAGAACTGAACAGATATATGAAGTAAGCATACTGAAGGCGTGATGACACTAGTGAAAAGAGTGATAGAGAATGAATACTCACATCATTGGGTATGGTGAGTTCATGAGTACTTGCCTGGGGACTGGCATCCATACCTAACATATAAAATCAAAATGTTAGACTGACATGGACGGTCTGTGGAATTGTCCCACATGAGCTTTGAATTCAAAGCTGGTTCTCTCACC